GCACATAAAGAGAAATACCACATATCCTTGCTCTTAAGTGGGAAGTAAAAAAAGAAAGAAATAAAAAAAGAAAGAAAGAAAGATACAACAATCAAATAATTCATCAAACTTTCAAAAGGAGAGAACAAAACTGAGGCTACCAGTAGTAGGAAAGTGGGAGGGGAGTGGGGGTCAGCAAGAAATTGGTAAAGTGCCACAAAAAAATGATTACGTTGTGTAGTGTTGAATATACTAATTATCCTGACTTGACCACCATACATTGCACACAGGTGTTGATATACAATGCCGTACTGCACAGATATGAACAATCATATTTCAATTAGAAAAAAGAAGTATGGAGGCTCACAAAGCTGAGAGGATAGCTTAAGTACAAAGTCATGGTGGGGAAACCAGCCTGCCTGTAGGAGAAGCTTGTTATCAGGGGAGTGAGAAGTCAGATTAGTGGGATGGAAAGTTGCCAGTATGTAGAAAGCCTACAAGTGAAAATAAAAGTTTACATTTTATGTAGTAGACAATGGAAATCAGTATGTTTCTTTTCAAGGAAAATAAGTACATGATGAAAACAGAACTTTAAGATACTAAGTCTGGTGAGACATACTGGAGTTGGGAGACATTAGAATCCAGGAAACTTATTAGATGGGTCTAGTGATGTTCTGGGCATTAAAGGATGATAAGGTTCCATTGGGAATATAAAGGGGAATGGATAGGTGAAAAAGCATTTGTAAAAACAGTAAACAAAACATAGTGAGAATTTGGATTTAGGGAAAGAAAGAGAGGGAAGAGCATCATGGAAGTTTGGAATTAGTCTCTAAAACCAAACTTCATCCTGAGCTACCTCCACTTTCATGCCTTTCTTCCTGTTTGTGGGTCTTTCAGTGTATATTTCAAAGCTATTACCACTAAAGCTCCATAAATCCCTTATCCCTAATTCCATAATCCAAAAAGATTTCTGAATCAAAAGCTTTTTTATATAACCATTTGGTAACAAAATCTAACTGAACTGACAAGAGGAAATTCATAGTCTTTGTCTACTTAGTGAGAATATCCTCATAGCTCATTACAGATACGATAATGTGCTTGATAAAGGGCTGTGGCTCAGATGCAACTGAGTACATGTAATATATGCTATATATGGTATATATATATGTATTACTTTGCCAAAAACCAAATCCTACCTTTTGAAATACATTTGTCCTTAAGGCTTTCAGATAAGACATTGTGGCCTTGTAGAATATTTCTTAAGCCTCTTCATCTCTAGTATGAAGAAATAGACTATCTCTGGTGAGTGAAGATAGAAAAATATGGAGCAGTTGAAAAATTCACTTAGTTATGATTCCTGGTCTAATGTGCCTACTCCCATCTTTGCATGCTAACAAAAGGCCTGTTAGCCAAGGCTGATATACGTACACATGTTATTAAATCCAATTGTAAGTTCACCTGAGACTAAGTTTTAGCCCAATTCCTAATTAAAGCATTTTTCAAAACCCTTGTATCAGATCGAATAACCACTGATAGTTAACTAAATAAAACAAAAACTAATTAATTGATTGTTTATTCAAATAACACAGGTATGCATTTAAGGAAAGATTCTTAAAATGATAAGAAACTCTACAAATATGAATCCTATCTGTTTACCAGAAACATCACCTCCAGCATAGCTAATATTAGAGGTGCTGCCTGCCCAGTGACTTACGTTTAATGAGTGTGATATCCTGACTGTACAAAGGTAGCATAATCGTTTGTTCCATAAATAGAGACTTGTAGGAATGGCCAAGTGAGGGTTTAACTCTCTTACTTTCAGTCAGTGAAATTGACCTCCCTGTGAAGAGGCAGGAATGTCAAAATAAGACAAGAAGGCCTTATGGAGTTTAAATTAATTAGCTCACATAAAAGAATTTTAACGTAACTGTTCAGAGGGATAACACTTAAATCTACCAGACTAAAAATTTTGGTTGGGATGACCTCAAAACACAACACAACCTCTGAATGATTAAAACCTAGACTAGACCAATTGAAGCAACATAACCATTTATTGACCCAAACAATTTGATCAATGGAATAATTTACCCTAGGGATAACTGTGCAATCCTCTTTTAGAGTTCATATTGACGATAGGGTTTATGACCTTGATGTTGAATCAAGACATCCCAATGGTGTGACCACTGTTAATGGTTTGTTTGTTCAACTACTAAAGTCCCACATCATCTAAGGTCAGACCGGAGGAATCCAGGTCAGATTCTAATAGGCTGTGTTGTGCTCGAGGTCAACCCAACCAAAATTTTAATATTTCTCCCAGTATGAAAGGATAAGAGAAATAAGGCTCACTTCAAAAATCGCCTTCAATTTAATAGATATTATCTCAATCTAATGCATTACTACATGCCCTGACTAAAAACAAGGCTTGTAAGATGGCAGAGCCCAGTAATTGCATAAAACTTTAAACTTTATAATCAGTTCAACTTCTCTTCTTAACAATATGTTTATGATTAATCTTCTGCTTATCATTCCCATACTTGCTATAGCATTTCTAGCGTTAATTGAACAAAAAGTGTTAGGTTACATAGAACTTTGTAAAGGACAAAATATTGTTGGTCCCCATGGCCTACTTTACTCCTTCTCTGGTACAATAAAACTATTCATTAAAGAACCATTATGACTACTAACATCTTACATAATTCTATATACCATTGTACCTACCCTCACCCTTGTGCTAATCTTATGAATTTCATTACCCATAGTCACTAATTAACATAAATATAGGAATATTATTCATTTTAGGCATAGCAAGCGTGGCTGTGTATTCTATCTTCTGATTAGAATGAGCATCAGATTCAAAATACACATTAATCTATGCACTGTGAGCATTAGCAGGGTTGATTTAATATGAAGTTACTCTAGCCATTATCTACTATCAGTTATCTTAATAAATAGGTCATTTACACTATCAACTTTAATTACTGCCCGAGAATATATGACTATTTTTCCATCATGACCCTTAGCCATAATATGATTTATTTCAACATTAGTAGAAACTAATTGGCTCCATTTGATATAATAGAAGGTAAATCAGAACTTGTATAAGGTTTTAATGTTGAGTATGCTGCAAGCCCACTTGCCCTATTTTTTATAACAGAGTACACCAGCATCATAATGAAAATGCTGTAACCATGATCCTTTTCCTAGGAGCACCACCTGATTCCGGACACTGGAAATTTACACAATCAATTTTGTCATGAAAACGTGTCTCCTAACTAGCTTATTGTTATAAGTTTGAGCATCATACCCACAATTCCAGTATGATCAACTTATATGCCTTCTATGAAATTTTTTTAGCATTCACATTAGCCTTATGCATATGACATATCTCTATACCTATTTTACTATCAAGTATTCCACTACAAGCATAAAAAACATGTCTGATAAAAGTGTTACTTTGACAGAGTAAATAATAGAGGTTTAAATTCTCTTTTTTCTGTAATTATAGGAATTGAATCTGCTCTTATGAATTCAAAAATCTCCACACTACCTAGTACACCATATTCTTTAGTAAGGTCAGCTAAATAAGCTATCAGGCCCATACCCTGAAAATGTTAGTTTATACCCTTCCTGTACTAATTAATCCTCTAATCTTTTCCGCCATTCTATTTAACCTCCTTATAGGAACCATAGTAACAATATTTAGCTCACACTGACTAATGATATGAATAGGACTAGAAATAAATATGTTAGCCATTATTTCCATTTTAATCAAAAAAGCAAACCCATAATCCACAGAAGCAGCTACTAAATATTTCTTAATACAAGCAACTGCATCTGGACTCCTATTAATAGCCATCATAATTAATGTATTATATTCTGGGCAATGCACAGTCATAAAAATTCCTAACTTGACAGCCTTCCTAATAATTACTGTGACACTAATTATAAAACTTGGACTATCCCAATTGCATTTTTGAGTCCCAGAAGTGACACAAGGGATTTCACTAATATCAGGTAAAATCCTACTAACTTGACAAAAACTGGCACCAATTTCAATTATATTTCAGGTATCATCAATTGATCACTTAATACATAATAACTAAAGATAATACTAATAACAGTGTATTATCAATTCTAGTAGGAGGATGAGGAGGACTTAATCAAGTACAACTACAAAAAATCCTGGCCCCTTGATCATTTGCACACATAGGCTGAATAACCATCTTTATATGTAACCCCACCACAATAATCTTAAACTTACTAATTTACGTTATTTTAACAGTTACCATGTTCATAATATTTAATTTAAACAAAACTACAACAGTGCTCTCATTATCACACACATGAAACAAATTACCACTAATAACCTCCATAATCCTTATATCCTTATTATCCTTGGGAGGCCTACCTCCACTTAATGATTTCTTCCCAAATGAATCATTATTCAGGAATTAACAGAAAAGGCCACCTCTTTCTCCTCTTTGATTTCTGAGTGTAGAGGTCATTAAATCCCCTTCTCCCTCCCCCCTACCCTTCTCTAGTTCAATGCCGACTTCCTGCCTTGGAGGATCCTGCTCTCTAGCCTGCATGACTAAGGTTAATGTGGAGATGAACTAATAGGCTTGTCCTCATCCGCCATTCATATGCCCTCCAGGTGCATGAAGGTAATTTGGACCTCAGGGAAATTCCAGACTGGATGTGTGCCATCTCATTGTGCCTCCGGCTCTACCCAGGAATGGTGACATCTTTATCACAGATGTGTTGCTGTTGTGTGTTGCCTAGGACCCCAAAATTACGGTGGAGTTCTTGGCAGAAAGGAATTTGACAGAGAAGTGTCCTGACAAGTGTTTGCAAATACTTGGGTCAGTGCTAACAGATCCCTCCTCTCTCTCCTTTCAGCTTATAGCCCAAGTGCCTGTCACCAAGTCCCTTTGAGCTGTGACATGAGCCACCTGGTGGCAGAGATCCGAGCTCTGAGAGGGCAGCTGGAGCAGAGCATTCAGGTGAACACTCGTCTGCGACTGCAGCTGGAGCAACAGTTGGATGGTGGTGCCAGCAAAGCCAGCCTCAGCCACTCCTCCATCAACCAGAGCTTCCCTGTCTACATTGACCCTGGAAACAAGCAGTCACTCTTCCAAGGTAGAAAGGAAAAGGAGTTACCAGGATGTCTGCGGTAGAGGAGTAATCTTGCCCCTCTCATGCTTCATAGGGTCAGGTTGCAATTGAAGCTGCTTTAGTATAGCATCCTTGAGTGAGATCACGCGATTTAGAGTCAGACCTGGCTCCAGATTCTGAGTTTGCCACTTACAGGCTGTTTGCTTTGGGTGTTTAAGCCTTAGTTTTCTCATCTTTAAGATGGGGATAGTAAATAATATATACCTTGTATGGTTATTTGGAGCATTAAATGAAATAATTTACAAGTGCCTGGCACAATAGGAATTGCTTAGCAATTAGCAGCTGTCTATGTTAATATTTATTCCTTGTATTTGTGAAGTGCTTTAAAATGTACCAAGTATTTTCAAATATATAATTTCATCTGAGGTAGGGCAGGTTTTACTGTCTCTGCATTTCACATGAGAAAACTTAGACATTGAGACATTAATGGACAAACTAGGGTTTACAAGAGTTAGAAACAGAACCAGGATTGGAAGCAGATGTGTTAATTTCTGATCTGTGTTTTGTCCACCTCAGCATGCTCTGTCTCAGTGTTGTTGACCTTCCCAGACCCTCTAGGTTGGCTTGTCTCTTCCTCACCTGTGGGGGACTCAGTGTGGCACACTGTTCCTGTCCCTGAAGAACCAGGGCTATAGGAAAGTAATGGATGGAGGCATGTTTATTCCGGGTGGCAGCTGTTCACTTCCTCTGCCCTACCGCCTTCAGACAGGCATATTTGACCAAGTTTCACCCTCTCTTCTCTGTATCCCTCATCAATCTCACTTCCCTCAGTTTTAATTTCAGTGTTAATAATGCCTGAACTCCAGTCTCTTGACACATTCAATTTCTACTTCCTCTTCTTTTTCCTTTTGATACTCCATTCATTTCACCATCCCCACTCACCACCATGGCCATATCCTCAATTTTATTCTAATCAGGAATCACTTCTGCTCAGGTTTCTCTAAAACTGAGATTTCAAACTCTCATGCCTGTTTTTCCTGTTCATGTTAATTCTTATTTGTCTTTGGTTCTGGTAGATGCTCATTTATCAGACAATGACCTTATCTGACCAAATGAAGGTGACAATCATATGATCATGTTTTCATGGCCTTTAATGAAGAAAAAGTATGTGGACTGCCTAGCGTAGCACCTGGCCCCAGGAACAGCTCAGTGTACGTTAGGTGGATGCCCACCCTCTTCAGGGCTGCCATGATGGGTGCAGTGTTGAGTTCCGTCTCCTCCTCTTCCCTCTAACCAGGCTTTCCCCTCTCGCTGGCTTCCCACACAACAGCCAAGACTCAGCTCCACTGGCTCAGTCCCTGATCCTCCTCCCCCACCCCAGAGGCCTAAGCTGGAAAGCAGGCTCAGAGCCACACTTGACACAGCAGGACGTTTGCTGCTTTCTTTGTGATACATTCCAGCTCCTCCATGGTTGGGTTGCTTTCTGTTCTCCAGTAGGGCACCTTTAACCAATCAAGCCTTCTGCCTCCTTTCTTCTCATACAACTGAATTTTTTACTCATACTAACATGTGACAGTTGTGAGTAGTTGTTGAGTTTAATCCCCCATACATCCATTTATTCTTTGATTTGACATTTTAGCATATATACTGTGTATATTTATTTATATTTATATTTACTTGCAAGGTATTGTATTAGAAACTACATACAAGTTATACTCAAAACTGGGTTTATAAAAATATACTTCATTATTTTTCAAACTGAAAGTTGCTTTCTCAAGGAACACCTTTCAATTAGAGGAATATCTTTTTGTTCTGACAAATGGAAACATAGGAAACTAAGGATTGGTTGGCTGTTGCTTTTGATTGTGGTTTGTGGATTATAATGATGTAGGAGGTGAGTCACGTCGCCTGAGATCTTAGATGGTAAAGACAAGGCTCTGCCTGTGCTTGCAGTGCAGTGTGTTCCAGCGTTCCTGAAAACTGTGCTTGTCTTTACTCCCTAGATTCAGTTGCTTCCCCTCCTGTCCGGGATGTTGGCATGGCTTCTCCAGCTGCAGAATTCCCCTGCTCTTCTTCCTCTGCTCCGGGCTCAGAAGCTGAGATCTGCAACAGGACAAATGGTAAATATGACACCTAAAGGGCACAGGTATGGATGAAGAAAAATTACAAACCGTTCTTGTCTATATACACATGACTTGAATTTCGAGATTTTTCTCTGTGTGCCCCAAGGCCTTCCGTGCTACTCACGTGCCCTCTGTCGTGCCTTTCTTGTCATTATTCTTCCTCCTGCAGTTTTCCTGCTGCTCTGCTTTGGCTTCGCTGCACTGTACACTACATTCTTGAAAGTGCTCTCCCTATCCAGCTTGATTTCCTTGTCTGCCTCTCCTCTACCCTGAAATTTATTATCAATAATAATTATCCTGACAATTTCATGTGTCCGTATGTATAAAAATTTGTCTCCTTGCAAATATATCATTATGAGATGATGTAAAAAAGATTATAAAATATAGAAACCAGAATATCTCTATGGACTTCACACCACCCTTGTTTATTCCAAGGCTGCCTTTCTTGTTTCCTGCCTCTTTCACCCTCTCTTTTGGATTGGAGCCTACTGAGGATATTATTATGAGTAACAGCAGATTCTGTGTTGTTGTGGTTTTCTTTTTCAGGTCTGGGTTTGGAAGCTTCTCCAGTAATGAAGAGCCCTCCCAAGCTGGAGGGTGATGCTCCTGATGGCTCCTTTGCCAATAAGCACGGCCGCCATGTCATTGGCCACGTGGATGACTATAGTGCCCTAAGACAGCAGATCGGGGAGGGCAAACTGCTGGTCAGAAAGATAGCTTCTCTTGTGAGAGCAGCACGCTCCTTCCCTGGCCTAGAAGCTCCAGGCACAGAGGTAACCAAAGCTGTAGCTTTTAGGTCACTCTTTCATTGTGTCCTTTCTTCCTCTGATTTTAGTTCCTTTTCCCACTCCTTGTTTTCGTGCTCTCTATCTCCCAGCAGCTGAAGAAGCATCTTCTGCTTATACCCTGCCCAGCCCTTTCTTCTCTGTCTTCTGTTCTCATGTAGTTCTGCTCTGTTCCACTTGATGCTGGCTGGATATTTTCCCCTCATGCCACAGAAAATCCAGTCTGTACTGTTGTCATCAGCACTAGAGCAGTTGTTAAGTGTCAACACATATGTGTGCTGCCATGAGCACCCTTTGGGAATGCATTACCTGTTACAGTCACATGGGCACATGGCCTTCTGTGGGCAGAGTGAAATCAGTCAGAGGGACAAAAACTGAGGGATTTGTAGCCTCATGGGCCACATGTGTGAAAGGGGTGAGAAGCCTGGCAGCCGTGGGATTTCCTCTTCAGCCTGCACAGGGGGAGGGAGAGCAGTCAGCAAAGCTTCTCAGAGCTCTTCACCATTGAGGGAGACCAGGCACCAGTGGTTGTGCTGTCTGAGCCACTAGAGACCCTGGTGTACAGGGACAGCCCTGCCTGCAAGGAGCCTCCACACCCAAGGCTCAACACATGTCCAGGTAGACAAGTACAATCAAGGGCTACAGGCCCAGTGTGAGAAGTCGTCCTCTGGATGTGAGGGCACCTGTGCAGAAGTGGCCATTCATCCCAGGCAAGGAAGGTGCCAGGCTCATGGAGGACATGACAAAGGGGATGTGTTTTGAAAGGCTTGGAGGTTTTCCAGGTACAGGAGGGCATTCCAGGTAGGGGGAGCAGCACCTCAGTCCTGGGAGCTGCAGATGGCGAGTGAGGGTCTCCTAGGTTCGTGCAGGCCTATGTTCTGTGCCTCACTCACAGAGGAAGCTTGAGCCCTGTGCTGGGGAAGCAAAAGTGAACTCTCAGTTCCCGTGATGTCCTGGCTCCCTCTGCTCTTCCCCAGGTGCTGGGCAGCAAGGGCATCCATGAACTTCGCAGCAGCGCCAGTGCCCTGCACCACACCCTAGAGGAATCGGCTTCCCTCCTTACCATGTTCTGGAGAGCGGCCTTGCCAAACTCCCACAGCCCTGCTCTGCCTGGCACAGTGGTAAGAGGCCAGCGTCCATTACTGCATCATACCCAGCTCTCTGCCTTAGTGTTGTTCTCTCTCCTCAGTCCCACAGCTTTCTGTAGATCAGGAGCCCCATGGTGAGATGGGATCCATAGAACCTTAGGGGAGTTTCCCTGCAGGACTGCCCCTGATCATAGCGGCTGCTTTCATTGCAGTTCTGACTACATCCCTTCTCCTCCCACCCCCCCTGGCCTCTGTGTTAAGAAATCAAAGAGGAGAAGGACAGGGTTTGGAGAAGCAGAGACATATAGTAACCCTGGTAATCCATAAATGTTCATCAATTTCTGCACTTCTCTGATGTTTGGCTGAGCTGAAATTCAGAGACATGTTAAAGCTTCATTGCCTCCTTCTCCCACCCTTCAGGTCTGCATACTCAAATAATCACAGAATGTGACCATGACACTATGAGCCTCTGTTAGCCACCCTGCAATCCCAGCACGTCACTTAAATTTGCATACTAGGGCCAGGCCAAGGGAACGTCAACCACCCCTCAGAATGGTCTCAGATCTGAGGCTGGCTCTGGGCAGACCCTTGGGCAGGCAGGTTTCCAGATCCCATCCCCAGGGATTCCACCTCCAGATTATTGTTACCTTTACCTTTACCTTTATGACTCAACTATGCTATTTCAGGGAGGAGGTGCTTTGCCATCTGCATTTTAGCACAAATATTTACTAACTTGCTAACTGTCCTCAGGCCAGCCCTATCTCCCCAGACATAATGGTCCTGGATTCCCAAGTCTTCCTGTGGTGGGGGGAGTGAGAGAACTAATTCCAGAACTAAATTCGGCTGTTGTTCATAGTTGGGAGTTTCATTCTGACCTTGAGCCAGGTTCTGCTCACAATAGGAGTGTAGGCCTGTGCTAGTCTGCATGGGGACTTCCAGGCTCTCAGTATTCCTGCCTCTGGGGACATTCCAAACCATCCTCAGCCAGAAGGTTTTAGAGGCTTTAGTGAAGGGAATCCAGGGCATAGATAGTTGAGAAGTTTGTGGAATCCTGCTTTGGATTGGAAGGAGCTACACAGCATGGGGTACTTTAGGCCTGCTGACTGTGGACTGAGAGCCTGTCCCTCCTCCCCAGGGAGAGTCAATGGAAAGAGAACTTCTGGATCTGAGAACCAAAGTATCCAAACAGGAGAGACTTCTTCAGAGCACAGTGGAGCATCTGAAGACTGCAACCCAGCAGAAGGAGAGCATGGAGCAGTTCATCATCAGCCAATGTAGGTGGCCTGAGCCAGGCAATGGGAAACGAAAGGGGGTGGTCTTCTAGACACGCCCCTTGTGCCGCGGATGAACAGAGCCCAGAACGGCTCGGGGATGTCAGGAGGAGAGAGACTGACAGGATGTCCCTGAACGTCCTGTGCCTCCAGTGACTGTGGATGCAGAGGGAGAGGAGGATG